GTCACTGTTTCCATTGTATCTATCTACTTAGTAATAACAATAACAATAATGATTAGATAAAAGGATTTATCGTACGCGTTGACATCACGACGCATCACTAATGTTGCGTCTTGACAAAATTATTAATGTTCTAAAATTATCTTGTAACAGCCAATTAACTATAACTTACGAACGAACGCGTGCGCAGTGTTGTCTGTTTGTGCAGCTTCTACAGCCTGCGCTGATTATGTGGCTATTCATAGAATACTAATTAAATCACGTCAGAAATTACTGATGCCTTATAAAACGTAATATTTTTTCCAGTCGTCTACGTACGCTAAATTAAATGTGTCAGGAAACAGTAGAGTACCCTCGAGTTAAGTATGTGATCGCATTACAGATGATGTTTGTCGTCAGAGGTTGGAGGCCACTCAGGCCACTCAAAATATTGTAATTAGTGTAATGAAATAAGTATTCGCGTCGTAGATCGCGTGTCCTCGCGGCGCGCGGCGGCGCCGGCATGCGCTGGCGCCGGGCGCCGGGCGTCGCGACGCCGCCGCCCGCCTTGTTTGCACATCGCGTATGTTCTCTACTTACGCGAGTACGTTTTCGCATTATTTCAACAAACACGTACCAAATTACGAAAATCATGACGTCAACAAATATCCGATCCGACTCGTGTTTCTGTTTTTACGACTGCGCTCCGACCTTAGAAGTCGTTTTAGCGAAGCGAGGAGGGAGAAATGTTAGGTACCTACTGCCCAAACAACTCACAACGGAACTTGCAAAAGAGTAATGCTTTTAATGCGATAACTAGATATTCAACTGTTGCTTAGGTATACATAAAGAGCTAAGTGACCCAGATAATCAAAAGATTAATGTTTAAGGTAATCAGAAAGGGTCTGGCGCCACCGCGCTCCTCGGTGGGCACGCCGAGTCACGCACAGTTCGCACCACTAACCACTCGCTATTACTCATGATAAGCCTACCCACAAACCGCATTCACCTAACACTGCCTCATTAGCCGACATTAAAATAATAACGGGTGCGCTTGCGGCCGACAACCATCCCTATTGAGACCATTTAATATAAGAGCAGAGAGACGGGGCTACACTACAAAAGTAATCATATGCAACGATCCCGCGGTGCAGAGAAATATATTTTGAATTAACGATCATCCGTGTCCAGTCCTGTCTACACTCGACACTTGAACATCGAGCGGCGCTCTTCGTAAAAAGAGCACTTAGACTTCAAAGCATTTTACGCAGTAAACGGCGAAAAAGGCTGAAACAAAATGATGCGCCGAGGAATGTGTTGCAGCGAGAGACACCGATTTCACAAAAATAAAACGTCGATTGTGCTCGGCATCGTGCATCGGCGTGCACAAAACAAATTCCTCGGAGGCACTTGCTGTGCACTGAATTAGATACACTCGTGATCGAGTGGTGAGGGGCGCGCTGCCCGATGAACCGTGAACACCAACTGCCGCACCGCACCGCGCCACCGCGCCGCCGCCGCCGCACTGTGACGTCACATGCGGACTCTACACCTAAACTAACTTTCAGCATTACAGAGGTTATCTTAACGTACAGTTTTTTTCTCATGTATAAATATAGAATTGATATTATTTACGATAATGAGACACTTGACCTTTGCATGTAACTCCGATTAATTAGCTCATTTTACTGCAATATCAATTCATATAGAGAACATCATTTACAAAACTTACATTATGAAGTCAACGACTGCAAGCTAAAATAGTAATTAATACATTAACTACTTAATATAAATATTTGCCAGTCATTCGCGGAACACTTACCTACCTATATATCATATATAAATTCTATGCTTTATTCGCAAATCTGTCAACGTTTTCAATTTCACTTTTATGGACCTCTGATGCAAACCGTTATACTTGTGTGCATAGATTTGGATGACTCATCGGCTTCTAATCTCTACTGTGTACAATTCGAACCTATGGAGGTTCGAATGAGCATGGGCTCAACGTGTTATAACTATATTATCGTATGTAAATAAATTATTCGTGCTCAAATATGTCCAAGTAATTAACGACATAAAATTATCTTCTCAGCGCCAACACGACACCAACAAATCGTGGTTATATAATTCTGAAAACAAATAAATCAACACAATTTCTTTGAAACGTACATACTTAGACATATATCGGCTAGGAATAACTCTTACTTCACTAGCGTTGCAGACCATTCCCTTTCTGAAGGCATGAAATTAACGTAGTTTATTGCCTCAACACCTGGCTGGATTTCAATTAAAAATTATCCATTTTACTGTCTTCACAGGTTACTGGAGATTTATTAAAAGCATAATAAAGTGTATTATTACAGCAGCCGGCAGACGGCCAACTGGAGTTCTCACAAAGGCAACTGTGAATCAGATTTGATACGTTTTATAGTTACGAGCCTCAGATAGAGTTTACGGCCGGCTTACAGTTCCGCCATGCCGAGAGGTAGCTGCTATGTACCATATCGGATCACAATTAATACATTGTGCCCGTATTGGGCGCTACACTCCACGAGACATTGTGCAACGAGTCTAGATAGAAATAGCTGCAGTAAATTCTTCATAACATTAATCGTCCGTAATAGAACCGCCACTTTTGTTTACATATCGTACCGTAAGCTAAATGAATCTCGACCACGGACAGCTATTTAACGTTGAAAGTAAAAACACTGGCGAGACATTTATTGGAGTGAATATATCACATTTTTTCTTGGAATATGACTTAGTAAATATAGTAAAAGAGCGCGTACGTTGACATCGACGATATTTGTTCGCAAAAAATGTGTGTTGTAAGTTGTGTTCGCTAAAAAGGCGAGCAGACGGCGTCGCGGCGACGGGTCGACGGCCGAGCCCGGAATAACCAGCAGCAGCAGCTATATTTGCAGCAGCGGTGCGGGCGCAGGGGGGACCAGCGCGTGCCATTTCTGCACCACCGCCCGGTGCATCTGAGTAATGCCATTGTAATGCTCTCGATATAGTCGTAATGAGAGGACGCGGCCGGGCAGACGCGGCGTCGGCGACGTCGCCGCTGCGGCTCAGCCCGCGGCCCGCAGCCTCCGCACACTCGCACTACGCTCCTCGTAAATCACTATCTGTCGCCACTGGCTGCGGAACACAACAGATCCCAGATAACGACATGCCAATAATTCGACAGCGTTATTTATGTTTCATTCAATTGATTACGAGTTTACGAGTAAGTGGAAGATGATGATGAACTGTGCCGGCTGCAAGCGTGGTACCCGCGTCCACATGTAGCCGCTATACCTAATGTATATTGATGAGCCCGCTCGTGGGAGCCGCGAGCCGCTACACTGTCATTTGTCATCGCCAGTTCCTGTCATTGCGCATACGCATACTTTCTTATTTTCTGCAATTACCTTTTAAAGTCGGCAAATTTGCCGATTGCATTAAAAAAATGTACTTAATGGGATGATGAGCGGCGACAATCAAGAATTGCACACGACCAACAGCCGCAAGCCAAGTTAACGTCGCAAACAGGACGACGACTTAAATGTCATAATGTACTTTGTATAAAAACTAGTTGCTTTAAAAATATCCATTGACTTTGGATATCTACAAATTAGTCCTATAATCTTGATTCGATAATTAATTCAATATCATACCTACTTGGGTTTATTAACTAAAATCGTAGTATCGTGTTACACTCACGAAGCAGGTCACACAAAAATGGCATATTAATAGCGGCCATCAAAGAGACCACACTTGCAAAAAGTCCATAAAGTTGTATGTCGTCCACTCGATTTCCACATGTGTGGATAGTTTTCGCGACAGATGGCCCGTGACTCACTAACCTGTTGCCGGCCACATACGTTTCCAATGTAATCAACATGACAATATTTATAAATCATTTTACACCAATAATAGATGAAAAAACAAACGAAACACGTCTATTAAGACAAAATTAAAGACTTTACTAGCTATTAAACGACCGCTCCTGTTTGTTAAAGTTTAGGATATTAAATGTGTAATGTGTAAGCATGACATCAGCGCCGTGTTGCCATGAACGTGCTAGTCAAAATGACATCATTAACGAGGAAATGAAATTGTCCAAATCACTATGTTCACGTCACGTGGAGCGTAATGAGAGGCGATCATTATTGTTGTAGCCTCTCGAGTGCAGTTCTTTAGAGATGCAAATCGTGTCGTGAGACAGGTCGCAGTGAGCACGGGCCCATTGTGGCCGCGGGCGGCGGTACAAGCGCGGAGGTGTCAGGCGATCACCTCACTTATCTCTTATTTCATTATCACGTTCAAGATAATATTATCAGGCTGGATATCTACGAGCGCGCCCGCTCCCGTGACGACTCCGCCTAATTAAACAGTCGCCGACCGAAGTGTAGCGGGTCATTAATATTTTTCAAGTCACCGTCTGGTTTGGCCGCAGACCTATTGCTATCACGATGCTCTTTCACGGTTGTTACAATTGCGAATTTATATTTGTACGTACCTATCTAAATAAGTTGTCTCGCTGTCATTTATTGTTAAAGGGCAGAGGATTTAAAGTGCTAACAACAACAATAAAACCCCTCGTTATAACTTAATACGTGCCTAATTCTAAAACTTGATTAAGACTCGAGGTATTTAAAAGGTTACTTTTACGATCATTGCCCTTTCGAGAACACAGTGAATTATTAAACTAAATGACAAATGAGCTAACGCATTCTTGTTATTTTTATAATTTTGGGTAAATATTTTTAGAAATGATGTAAGCCTACAACCAATTGAACTACCAAGAAGACTTTAGGAACATCATATCAGCCATATGACTCCATGAATTAGGAGTGTGATTGAAAAATATGCAACGTCACTATAATGAGCAATTCCTAATCTAGAAAAAACACCAAATGACTTCAAGGACTTGCTTGGTATAAATTATGAGTGGCGAGTCGTGAGCTGACCTTTTGTCGGCAAGGCACAAACACGATCGTATAAAATGGTGACAAAGAATAAAAGTTACTCACAGTTGAGGTCCCCGGGACATGTCTTGCAACATCTGCCGGGCAGTAGGACGGGAGTGTCACAGGATGGTTCGGGACACTCGTTCTTGATGTTCCGACAGTGTACCTTGGCTACCACCCGCCGTTTCTTTTGAACCTGCAACACGTTACTAGTATAGAGCAACACTTCTCGTTGTCTAGAATTCTGGAACATATTGTTACTAGGTGTAGTCTGGAAATACGTACCGCAACACACTCACATTTGATGCAGTACATCACGCCGAAGGGTGGGCCCAAGTCCGCAAACCACTTGGAACCCAGCTCCATAGCTTGTTTGCCGAACAAACATTCTGAAACAAAGAAATGTTCCTTTAAATTATAAGAAAAAATTGAATGACGTGATGCTTACATCACAATATAACTAGGCAAAGCAACTCGAAAATAGAAAAAAGCTCGTGATTAAGATATAGCTGTGCGAAACGTAAGGTTTGCTATGCTTATTAATTTCAGGACAAACAATACACAAATAACATAAAATTTCACAAAGAAGTAACTAAGAATCAGAATTTTAAACCCCTGTTTGTCTCAGAAAAGAATCTACTTCATAGGTACCTTATATTGCAAAATTTGCAAACACAAAATCAAAGAGATCAGAAAACGATGCAACATACTCTTCAGTGAGAATACACAGCGATAAACAGTATAAGTAAGTACGTAAACATATTGAACGAATGATTATTTTGCTTTCTGTAAACTCTAAACAAATATTTTTCCATAACATTACCTACCATTATCTGTTGTATATGTAAATAGAGATTTAAAACCAATAAGGTTCATCGTATTCTTGCTCACCAGATGGAGCTAGTGTGCTCCTCTCGTTATTCGTCCAATACGAAATGAGCTAGTGTTACACCATTGGACGTTTAATATTTGATAGCTGCTGTGATTGGACAGCATTTCTTCCAACATTTGCGCCGTCTTATAATACTTTTAGCTGATGTAATAATAGGTTACTAATTTTTGTGTAAGAACTTTTATTGCCTTTGTACTTGTGAACTTAAGGAATTAAGAGCTCAAGAAACCATCCAATGACTTCTCCAGGTGAGGCGGTAGAGAGAGTCAAACTCTTATTGACTAAAAACCATCCCGTTCCTACTCCTGCACTATGAGCCCCGGGAACCTTTTACGTTATCCGCGGCTCCGTATCGACATCAGCCCTATTGGGCCCCATTCGTGGCGGAAGGAATTAAGAGATCTGGAAGCTTTTAAAAATGTTTGGCCAAATTGCAATAGAACTATTCCTAGTGAGGATTTAAGGGTTAATTTACATTACCTCACTCCTATCTCTCCTTAAAAACAAATTTAATTAATAAACTTCACTTAACCTTTTGATCTCTTGTATATTTACAATAATTGAAATACATAACAACACATTAATAGTAATCACGGTATACATTTTCAATTACATCTGACAGTTAAACAATAAATATGTACCATAGTAGATATTCTATAATTCTATAATCTTTGATTTATAAGTTAGCAGCTTCAGTGCCAAGCACAGGTTAACTAGTTACATGTACCCAACTCGTGAGCTAACATCTAAAAATAAAAGTTGCATCGTAGTGTTAAAATGAATGTAAGTTCAGATACCTGCATGCAAAATGACACTTGTATCTACCTCTATGCAATGGTCAGCCATGAGACTTTAGTACTATTTTGCATTAGTAAAAATTATACATTTCCACGCTTTAGTGGTCCTATGAAACGCTGTGTACGGCGTATATTATAACTATTTAAGTTACTAGCTTTTTATCCGCGGTTTAGTCTCGTCAATGGAGAAAAAGTTAGCCCATTATTGCTCTTCAGCTTCCTTACTATCCTCACACGTTCCTGTTTTTAATATTAGATCGATCAAGAATGCAACACTTTTCCATTTACAATATTAAACATAGATTAAATAAAAACACCAGTTTAAACATGTGAACTTGAAGCTTTCTCATTAGAAAAAAGTTCTACTAGTTTCGAGTCACACAGGGACTCTTCTTCGTAAACAACGTGCGCGGACGCAGCAACGTCACATAGCCTACTCAGAACTTTTCTCATTTTATTAACGCGAGTAAACTAGTGTTTATAGTTAATTTAGTTTCATATAAAATTTAGATCTAAGTGTCGATATAAATAAGACGAATGAACGGGCTCAAGTAAACAAATTTATAAATACATCAACAATTTAATATCCAATGCCAATTTTCTATTCTTAGCAAACCCTAGAAAAACTTACTGGAGTTAATCAAACCGTTTTGATTAAAGTCGTTCCTTACATGGCTATATAGTCGGCTTTACTCAATATTTTTATATAAGTAAACTAGATATTCCATAAATTGGTTAATTTCTTAGTTCTGATGTAGTTGCCCCCGCTTCTCTGCTGCACCCCCTCTGATCCCGCCTTTTTAATGTAAACTTCGTATCCATATCATCATCATAGGGGCTTACAACAACAATTATGTGGAAGCTTGATCATTCCACGAGCCTTTTGTTAAAAGTACAGGTCTCTTTCAAGTGGTCAGATGGCCATGTAAAATATAGCTAAGGACTTCTGTAAAACGTATCAAAATTGGTTGATCTACTTAGGAATAGAAGGTAGAAATGTGATGCAATGTAAGTTAAAAATAGGGAACTGTTAATGAGTGATAGTAATTTAGCATCAATAATATGAATGCAGTTGAATAGTTATGTAAGTTTATCCCGTAGCAAAGCGTCAGCAAGCGATTAGGTGTCGCGGATAGATTCAGTATCAGATGCGTCGGGTCGATAAGGTGGCCGGCCTCTATATATAAGCGTCACTGTTATCTCCCTCTCGTAACTATTTAATTAACCTCACTCCCGAGTGCACTGATAACACATGAGACATGTTGCGTGAGAACATATTGCTCTTGGTGCCCATTTACAAGTAACATTGTCGTTAATCTAGACGGAATTTAAAATTCAGACAAAGCTTTTAAAATGTTGCAAGCTCTGACATTCTCGGACAGAGTGACATGAGCCACATTTCGCAGTAAAAATATATACAAGTGAAGTGGACAGCTCAATAATGGAAGTGGAGAGTATAAACTATGAACATAGTTGTGGCGAGCGACGTCACGCGTAATGAGGAAGAAGGGTGACGCCAATGATGCGCCGGCGCGCGGCGACCCATATTCAGGATGCAACGATCAATACGACGCTGCCGACGAGATACGGTCGACATTATCTCCATATTTTATAACAGCATTTATGCGTGTAGTGTCAATTTCATTAAAATTGAAAGTTATGAATGCAGCTCAAGAAGAAAGTACTTGTTTATTCTTTTTTTCCTTTCATGTGCGCGGAGTGCCAAAAAAGCATTATTTACCGTGTCACACCTACTCAATCGTTTGCGAGTCGCGGGCGCACCGTCTCGCCGACACAGGCGCGCGTCCACACACACCGCCTATTTTATAAGCCGCGCGTGTTTCTGGACTTTCAATGTATGTATATAAAAATATTATCTCTGACATGATTTAGGCATATAAAGTGAGGCGAGACATCGCGTAACCTTCCTTTCGTTTTCTCGGAAACGTTGGCGATGAGCCAGAAGCGCTTCGCCAGGGAAATGAAGTATTGGCGACGCCCGTCTTATGCTTCTTTCACGATCTGTTTATGGAATGTACTCGATACGACCCGCTGTTTATTTTGAATTTATCGTTCACATATTGGAAAATTTCACATTTTCGGACGTAGGAAGGTAAATACCAATAAGTCATAATAACTCACAGCCAACAGCCAACAGCGGTTGGACTAAACATCACCGCATCATGGAAATGTAAAATATTTGAGTCGTGTTTATGAAAGTACGTATATCATTAGTACTTTTTATCTTTAGCTACACATTAACTGATACTAAGAAATCATGCAATTCGTACATAAACAATATCAACGAGCCGGTTTTTCCCCAATAAACATTGGGATATGACAGTACCATTTTTAGAAGCCAGAAAGGCAATGAATTCGAAGACGTTTAATAATGATAATAATTGCATCGTCGCCAGTATGTGTACGTTCACATATTCGTTTGTACAATGTCTTGGAGCAATTTGTAATCTCCAGAGCGTGGCGTGTTCAGCCGGTCCCAGGGTCAGCGCATTGTGTCACAGCACCGCATAGATCACGATAAGTATGAACTGCATGTCAAAGCAGAAGTATATGGTCGGCTCATTGAAGTGTGCACAAGTCGCTTCGATAAATCCTCTACATAAAAGGGTTGAAAGAGGCGTGCGCCGTATTTCAGCGCGCGTGGGCAGCGCATAAATTGTTCGTTCTGAATTAGCCTTAAGCAGGATATTTTGACATTCGCACCGGCCGACACGCTGACTAGTTTACACTCGTGCGCCGACTGTGAAAATACTTCACGATGCGATACCACCGCAGATTACCATTCATCATCACTAATAAATTCAACAACACTTCATCGGTGTTTCGGTTAACGAGTTGAAGGGTTGGCTTTCTTTTTATAGTGTTACATACAAAACGCGTTCCAGTACCGGACCGCGTACATTGTAGAGTGCAGTGCGATGTGCGATGCAGCGGTGTAGGCGACTCGCCGCAGATCAGACAATTTGCTTTGATCACTGTATCAGTGTATCATTAGATACACACACCCACACGCTGAATGATTGCTCATTGTGCCGCCCCTTGGCGTGCACTCTATATTACGTATACATCGGTTGTGACGCGATCATACCCAACCCACGACTGCTAACTATATGTGCACCACAGCTCTATACCGACTCGTTCTTTATTTGCGCCAAACCGAGACATACACTTATTTGGTATCAAACAATAAAGTGAAACTGTTTGTTACCTTAACTTAGTCCGCGATTGGTTTCAATGTTGCCTGTATTAGTCAAATTACAAGAGCGAAGTCCTCGAAGCATATCACCTGTGTTCCTTTTACGGAAGTCAATGAGACGGTTTATTTTAAAACCATATTAAAATGTACAAAAATAGAGCGTCCTATTTTAGCTCGGCATTGCATGGGATTATTTCTGTGGGTCGGCTGACATCGTCTCATGACAATCCCGATAAGTTAGTCAGGTCTGATTGTAAAAATAGTGTGAGTGGTGTGATTCGGTAGGTGTGGTCGTCTGCTCGTCCTCAGGTGATGGAGAGCGGCTGCGGCGAGGCGCGCGCGAGTATTATGTAAAGCGCGGAGTATCGAGTGTCTCCGACAGGTGTCTATCGTCGTAATATGAATTACTGTGGCACATTGATCTGATCACTCGCTCCAATGAATCAGCTGAGACACTGCTATTACGCGTTTAATAATCACATC